AATAATAATAATAATAATAATAATAATAATAATAATAATAATAATAATGTGAATGGTGGTGGCCGTGCCTTCCCCTCCTGACCCCCCCCAGCCCGGGAAACAGAAGAGGTCTCCCCCCCTCCCTCTGCCTTGCCCCATCGATTTGGGGGTTCTCCCCACCACAATCTGGTCACTCTGCAAATACACCTGTTTCTCAAAAAAAAAACAAAAAAACCAACAACCCTTTTCTAGCCTTCTTCGAAGCCAAGGATTTGGGGGAATACCTGTCTTGCTGTAGCCCCCCCCCCCAGATCCAGGCAGGATTTGGGGAGGAGGTGAAGGGAGGAAGGAAAAAGAGAAGGAGGAAAAAAAGAGAGGTTATGGGGGGGAAGAGAAAGAGAGAGAGAGAGAGAGACCAAGAGAACCATGCGGCTGAAGAGAGGATGCTCTCTCTTTTTCCCCCGTCTGCATCCTCCCTCTCCATCCATCCATCCATCCATCCATCCATCCTTCCTTCCTCCGCCCGCCGTCTGGGTCTTCTCCTCCGCTTGGCTCCCGGATTCTTCTCTTCTCTGCCCTTCCGACGCGGCTGGGTCGCTGGCGCTTGGGGTGGTGGTCCCCTCGTTGCTCCTGGGGGCTTCCCCGGTTTTGCTTTCCCTGCCTTTCATCTTCCGCAGCTGCGGCTTTCCAAGAGTACCCCAGCATCCTTGCCGTTTCTCATTCGCTGTCGGGGATGCAGGGATGGGCGCGCAGGAGCTGTTAACATCCTCGTCCCTTTCCTTCCTTCCTTCCTTCCTTCCTTTCCTTCCTTCCTTCCTTCCTTCCTCCTGCTCCTTCTTTCCTTCTTTTCTTTCTTTCTTTTTCTTTCTTTCTTTCTTTCTTTCTTTCTTTCTTTCTTTCTTTCTTTCTTCTTTTCTCTCCCGGGCCTAAAGCCTCTCTCTCTCTCTCTCTCTCTTTCTCTTCTTCTTCTTCTCTTTCTTTCTCTCTCTCTCTCTCTCTCTCCTTCTTCTCCTTCTTCTCTTTCTCTCCGCTTGCTGTCTTCCCTTCGCTCTCTTGCTGGGCACCGCACAGCACGCACTCACTTCCCCCGCCGAAAGCGCCAGCGAACTAAAGGCAGCCTCTGTCCAGGGCCAGGGTTTTTAGTGGAGCCAGGCAACAATACGTGCGTTGCAGTGGATGGCGAAGGAGAGAATCGTGATGAGATTCAATTGGTACTGGATCTGAATAACACCACAGGGTGATAAATGCCTATTGTGTTTTCAAGGGGTCATGAATCTCCACTCCTTTCACTCGGCAGCTGCAGGCTGGGGTGTCTCTTAAAGACACAGGCCACCCCCTCCAAAGTCTGGCCTGGCTTGGAGGGAAGCTAGGCTGGGCCACGCGGCCAGGATGGAGCCAAGAAGTGCGTTTTGTGCGTCCATCGGATTTTAGGATGGCGTTTTTAAAACATGTTTTAAAAACAACAACATGTTTTAGGTGGGAAGTAGGTGGCTATCCTCATCTCCTTTTAAAAGGAACCTGGAAAAGTTCCTGTTCAGACAAGGACGAGCGGTAGAAAGACAGTTTGTCAATGTCGTTTTTATTTTATTTTATTTAGTTTATTTTCCCGGGCTCCAAGATCACCGCAGATGGGGACTGCAGCCAAGAAATGAAAAGAGGCTTGCTCCTGGGGAGGAAAGCCATGGCAAATCTAGATAGCTTACTAAAAAGCAGAGACATCACCTTGCCAACAAAAGTGCGTATAGTCCAGGCGATGGTTTTCCCAGTTGCAATGGATGTCTGGGAAAGCTGGACCATAAGGAAGGCTGAGCACCAAAGAATGGAAGCCCTTGAACTCTGGTGCTGGAGAAGATTCCTGCGAGTCCCTTGGACTGCAAGGCCATCCAACTGGTCAGTCCTAGAGGAGATCAACCCTGACTGCTCTTTAGAAGGCCAGATCCTGAAGAGGAAACTCAAATACTTTGGCCACCTAAGGAGAAGGAAGGACTCCCTGGAGAAGAGCCTAATGCTGGGAACGATGGAGGGCAAAAGAAGAAGGAGACGGCAGAGAAGGAGGTGGCTGGATGGAGCCACTGAAGCAGTCGGCGTGATCTTAAATGGACTCCAGAGGATGGTAGAGGACAGGAAGGCCTGGAGGAACGTTGTCCATGGGGTCGCGATGGGTTGGACACAACTTCGCAACTTACAACAACAACAAAATGTCATTTTGGTACACACACAATTAACGGATTGGGTTTTCAAGAGAAAAGAACACTGGTTTTACAAAATGTCTTTTCCCCCATCACTACCTTCCCTTTGCCAGGTTTTCTGATTCTTAATCGGTTTTTCTTTTCAACACAACCTCCGTGGGTCACACTTCACACTCTTGCGTTTCTTGCGCAGCTGCCCTCTGGCCTGGTTGGACCTCTGCTCTGTTAAAAGAAACAACAACAGCAGCAGTTGGAGTTTCTAACCATGGTTTACAGTGTTGCAAAGATCAATGGTTTGATCAAAGCTAACTGCCTGCCTTCAGGACGCAAACTTGGACTGAAGAGGAGGTAGCCATCATATTTAAACTGTTTGGTTGTGTTGCTGGATGCTACGTGCTTGTGTTAAATGCTGGTTTGTTATAAGCATCTTTCGATTTTGAAAGTGGGCTTACCCAGAGATAGGTGTCAAAACATACAAACTAGCTTCAGGTCTCGTGTCACAGAAATACGCAGGCCTCAACTCACGGACATCCCCATGTTTTAAACCAAGGTCGAGAATTATAAGAAGCGATTGCTAAATCCCCACTCTTGAAAGTACACAAACGCACCAGCCAAACAACAGCTTCTGTTATTTTACATTTATCTTTATGCCGTGTTTCCCCGAAAATAAGACCCTATGTTATATTTTTTTGAACCCTGAAATAAGCTCTTGGCCTTATTGCCAGGGGAAACAATCTAATCTATCTATCAGTTATCTATCTTTCTATCTATATATCTATCTGCTATCTATATATCTGCTCTCTCTCTCTCTCTCTCTCTCTCTGCTATCTATCTATCTATCTATCTATCTATCTATCTATCATCTATCTATCTATCTATCTATCTATCTATCTATCTATTATCTCTCTCTGCTATCTATTTATTCTATCAGCTATCTATTATCTATCTATCTATCTATCATCTATCTATCTACTATCTCTCTGCTATCTATCTATCTGTCAGCTATCTATCAGTTATCTATCAGTTATCTATATCTATCTATTCTATCAGCTATCTATTAGTTATCTATCTATCATCTATCTATCTATCTATCTACCTACCTACCTACCCACCTACCGTGTTTCCCCAAAAATATGACCCTGTCTTATATTTTTTTGAACCCTGAAATAAGCTCTTGGCCTTATTGCCATGTGCTCAAAAGCCCGATTGGGCTTATTATCAGGGGATGTCTTATTTTTGGAGGAAACAGGGTATGTATCTATCTAATCTATCTAT